AACTATGGGCTAGTCAAAGGGGCTCAATAGTGATTGCAAATAAAGGCCTCAGCCCTCTACCAAACTGTTCAGAGTAAATATTACTAGTATTAACTGAAAGAACCAGAGCTGTACATAGCAATCTAATCCAAGGAATGGAGGTGTTGCCAAACCCAAATCTCTCTTGAGTATGAAATAAATATTTCCATTCTGCTCTATCAAAAGCTTTATTTCTGCATCCAGGGAGGAAAAAAAAAAAAAAAAAACCCTCTGCGACTGAAACGTCTGAGCAGCGATGGATGCTATTGAAAATCAAACTGAAGAAAGAGAATCTTTTAACGAAAGCATGTCTGGTCTGAAGAAATGATACCAGGCAGCATGGGTGTAAAAAATGTTTACATCCATGTTTAACAATGAACTGGGATGATAAGAACTACAACCATGGAGCTTTGTTTCTTCAATATTAGAGATCTAAGCTTCATGCAACATTTGCAAAATACTGGTGACGGGATAAGTCTTGAAGTCTACTTGATGTTATTTCTGATCATGTTATTAATAAGCGAGCCATCTATTTGTATTGATTCCATTATATACTGTTTGTGAGAGGAAGCTCTTCTCCTCTTCACTCCAGCTGAACCTTCTTTGATCTCCGACCATCCTAAAAGCTTTCTTCACTTTCTCCCCCGTTGACATACTTGGTAATGTTTTTTGAGCATTTTTCTCAACCTCGGTACAGATGCACAGTTACTCACACATTTACACACCAAACGCTCTCACCCTTGTCAAATTCATGCTGCATATATTTTTAACAGTAAAACACCAAAAACAGCATCTTACTCCATCGTTACATTTGGTTACGAAAACATTTCCGTATCATGACTAGACACAACTCTACAGCGACGGGCTCCAGCATCCAGACACGTCGGGTTTGTAGTTCTACGATTTTGTCGAGGTGACTTTTTAATAAGTACAACTACTTCCAAAATGTCAATCCATTGCGTCAACATTCAGACCCACATTTTTTTTTTCACTGTTTACAAGCACCGTTGAAAGAGAGAGAGAGAGTGCAAATGCAAAGCTGTTCTGAGGAGTTTCTGTCTGTGTGAAGGCACATCTGTGTGGGTGTGCAGCATGTACACAATCCGACCCAAAGTAAAGCCAAGCTGGAAAGCTCACCTTTTATAACAATCCATCAAGTGAATTCATTGCTGTTTCTTTATTTAGTGACTGTCTGATCTGTTGAAATTTTTCCTCACCCTCAGGATTTTTTTTTGGATAGTTGGGTGAAGGCAACTTTGAAGCCGGAATCAAATCAGACTGCAGAAGTACCCAAATGTGTGAAACCCAAGAGCCTAATGAATGTTTATTCAGACGGACCAGAACTCGACTGGAAGTAATTCTTGCCATGAAATGTGTACGGCCTTGTTTCACTTTGAAATATTGTTGAACTTCGGTTATCAGTTACATTGGATGGTGTTCTCTGCCATCCTCAAGTGACTGACTGACCACGAGAGGTGCGATCAGAAATGTCAGAGACTATACAATTTGATCGGCACCTCCTTCAAAGTAGCCTCTTTGTGCACACTGATGCTTTTGCAACGCATGTGAACATGTCGAGCACATTCTGCAATAAGTGCTGAATCCCCTTAAATGTTCTCACTCGGACACCTGGATGTCACGGTAGAAATCAGCCTTGGAAGTCTGACCCTTGGGGGGGACTAATTCCTGACATACAACCATTAGTGCCATGAATGTTGAAGAAAACAATAAATGTGCTCGAGGTGCACTTCTGACCTGATGGATTTAGAATCTGAGGACTCTTCCACTGTGAAAATGTCCGTTTCTTCTCTGGATGGTAGCTGCAGACCCACCACTCATAACCAGTGATGACACAAACTGTTGTTTTGTCCTTTCTGCTCCAGTTTAAGGTCCGTGAAGACGTCGTACATGCGTACCCACGAGTGTTTAAGAATAAAAACACAGGTCCTGCTGTTAATAGTGTGGCATTTCATGGTCGTCTAATTAGTTACTGCTTTTAAAAAATAAATATTTTTCTTTTATCACTCATCAAAAATATGTTTTGCCACACAGAAATTCTCATCTTTTATTTTAGATGCAGCGTTGCCCTTTCTTTGCGGTCGTTAGAAAGTGAGCAAGTGGTCAGTTGTAGAGGTCGCACATTTCTAAACTCTTCTGGCATAGAAATACTACTGCTGTTATCACCACTACTGTTACCACAAACAACAACAATATATGAATGCACACCAGTCTCATAAAGGACTTTTCATGAAGGCAGGATTGCTTTACAGGAATTCTTCTAATGATGACATTAATTTGAAAATTCAGGCAACAGCAGCTCGGTGGAATCTAAGTCGATGAGATGCTTTCATTTAAAGCCATTTTAAATCTTCTATGGCCGGTACTTTAAATACAGGGTCACCATTTATCTCGGGGTTGGACATATGTCTGCCTCCGAGCTTCAGACAGCTGAGGAAAAAAAGCTCTGACCCAAGCCTTTGGCCTTTCTCTGCCCTGTTTCTCTCCTTTTCAAACAGGAGGATAGCCCAGCTAGCAGTCTCAAATCAAAAACAACAACCACAACAAAACTAGCCTAAATCCATTGTTTTTTTAATGATGAAGTTCTGAACTCGTTTTCAAGAGCCTGGAGTGCTTTTCGACCTAAATAGCTGTTCTTCTCTCCCTCTCTCACTCCTTACTCTGACTGTTTCCAGACCTTGTTCCCAGTGGTAATGGTGATGCAATGGAGAGATAATGAGTGTTTTGAACAATCATTTGAAGCTTGTATGTTCTCCCGTTTGCTTGCTTCTCTTCCTCTCCTGTGCCCTTTTGTTTTCCTCCCCTCCCTTCACTCTCTCTCTCTTTCTCTCTCCTGATTGCATCTCACCAGTGGCTCTGCGATGAACGTTGCGTATGGCGAGGAGGAGATGAAACGCTTCTTGGAGGAGGCTACGCAGGTGTCCCAGGTGAGATCAGCCTGAACTCTGTGCACATGCCTGCACATGTAATGAAAAACACATCGCCATCCTTCCTGATGCTTCCTCCTTTATTTTTCTCACAGTCATAAATTAGCAGGTTAAGAAATATGATCGCTCTCCTGCATTTAACCCGTACAGATATCCTCAGCATACTTTTGCATTCTCGCTCTGCTTTCAGTTAAATAATGCTACCAGCTGGCAAGGCTGTTGGCCGGTGCTGTGAGCTCGTCTCTACTTCATTGAGCACCAGGGTGGCTTGGGGAGCAGTTGGGCCCCTCCAAGGGCCTCCGTTCAGGGCTAGAAGTGTACACTCACATAGGCAATAGATCGCTCCTTCAGGGCACCAAAGCAAACCTTACAATGCTGGTTTAGCAGATGAATAAGGACGTTCTTGGTTCACACTTTGCAGGAATGTGAGCAGTGACACTCGTAGCAATCTCAACAATCCAGACTCGGTGTCAGAGGGGCTGTAGATTTTGTCATTTTGCTTGTTTTTGCATAGCTGTAATCTTATGCAAGTGGATTTCAAGCCGAGCTGGACTGAGCTCATGCCACAAATGCTGGTTTAGCTGATGTTTAAGTTGCACATTTTATGCATTTGCTTAGATCTGAGCAGCATTTCATAGCTATTACACATCAACACCCTAAAAGTGAAGCTGAAAGTTTGGCAGCTAAATAATATTTTTTAGACGAGCTTGGATTTTTGCTGGAATCCAAAATGCACTATCCCCGTGTCTCAATGAGATTACCTGTATAAATAAAGGCAATAATAATAAAAATACAGATTCTTCTCACCTCATTTTGCCATTGCTAATGCTGATATATACACACATTTCTCTCACACAATTGCAGAGAATATCACTCACTCCATTAGTGATAATAATATATCGTAATGCCCACTTCTATTGTGGTAATTAACTGGCAGGTGATGACATAAACAACGATGCATTTCAAAAGGTTTATTTCACAGTCTAATATTTTTACAACAACGCATCAAGCGACAATATAAAACAACGCAAAAATGTCAAAAGCGGTGCTTCTATTGATGAAACCTTTAGGCAATCGTTTAGCTTTCCAGCCGCGGTTTTTGATTCACGGCCGCTGTTCCAGTAGCGTCGTTTGCAACTGCAGCAAACAGCTGTTTTCGGCAGTAAAGCCCTATACAGCTCTATAAAGCTTGGTACGGTAATTATTCAGCTAGCTGGTGAACACGGTGGAGAATTCAGCAGCTGAAGAGCGAGATGTGTCCCTCAGGAGTTAGTGTAGAGCAAAAACAGAGCGAGTTACCGTTACATGTGCTGGACAGCCAGGAATGAACGGTAATGCCAGTTCATAAGACTTGTAATAGCTGAATGTATAAATAGAGGATTGTTTGCTACCAAGTTCACCATATCAAAGGTTTAATCTCTTGGTCTTTGCTTCATTTCAAATCTAGCGTGCTGGAGGACACGGGCAGCATAATAAACACATCACTAACTAAAAACACACTCCCACACAAAAGGAAGCAACCTTGCTCAGTCTGGGTTATTTTACTTTTTAATCATTTGAAAGAATAACCTTCGCGCTGTCTTCCCTTCAGGAGCATCCAGTGGTCATCACTAAGTTCATACGTGGTGCAAGGGAGGTGGAGGTGGACGCCGTGGCCAAGGATGGAAAGGTGACGCACGATGCAGTTATATAGGCTTTTGTCTAAAAGAAAAAAAAAAAATGATGCTGCCATTGTATGTATGTGAATAAGTGCTGGCAGCATAGGGGGAATGTACAACTTGTACCAAATGAATTGTTATCTGCTTAAAAGCAGCACAAAGCAGAACTTCAGTTAGCCGTCTGGTGCGGTTTCATTTAAAATCTAACCTGTCATAACAGCATACATCCTCTACATAATGTAACGCGATGCTGCGCAGCGCGACAGCTCGGAAAACAACATTATTTGTTCCTCTCTTATTTATATCGACACCCTGTTTGACCATATTTTCGTTCGGAGCAGTATCATTGTTATTCATCTCTGTAGCCCGGCATTATTCAGTCCTCCATTATTTTTTAGTTTAAATGGAGAGGTGAGACAGACATTGAGCCCAGTAGAAGAATAAAGTGGAAGTAATCTCATTCATCTTCTGTGGAAAAAAAAAAAAAAAAAAAACATCACAGCCTCAGACAGATCTGATGGAGAGAATGGAATACATTAAAACCAAAACACTGGAAAATGGTGCTGCTAAATTAATTCTTTTTTTTAAAAGATGAGATCAGTTAAGGGCATATTGAAATGATTCTTGCTCAACAAACTAATTTTGTATCTGATTGACAGATACCACAGATATGTTTCTTCTTGCTTCTCTGTGTATTCCCACTGCGCTCTGTTGTTCTACAGTATATGATGTGCACTTACGCTATCTAAATGTACAGCTTAGGTTGTTTAGATCCAGTACAGAAAATGTGAAGCAAGTATATAACGCTAAAAACATTTGATCCCTGTTCCTCTAATGGATTTTTTTTATAATGAAGATAGAGAAAAGTTGCTTCTGTGACTTCTGAAGCAAAAACAACAGAGTGCGTTACAATTTAATAAAAGCAAAGAGATAATAATTTTAGAGTAAAATCTATGAAAATGTTATTTGCAGGACTGCGGGGACACATTCAGACATCTTGAAAAAAGCTGGTTTTGTTCACACATGATTGAAGACGGGAAAATGAACATTTGGTACAAAGATGCGTTCAGGTTTGCTGCTATTGATCTGCAAGATGCTGAAAAACATGCCAGGGATAAGAGAACTGACGAGGAAATTTAGGACGACGGTACAATTAAATTACAAAATTTGACCTCAGCACGACTTCTGAGACGCTCAGCAGTGAGCTGGTAGAACTTTCTAATACTTCCGTAACTTTATCAGCAGCGTGAGCCGACAGAGCCACCTATGTGCTCGTCCTGAACGCCCCGTCTGTTTTTCCCATTGTTTAGACTGTGAGAGTCATTTCAAGGGTGTCAGCTTGAACGTGGGCTATCCGGTTGTACGGTAGATTTACTCACTCTGCCTTCTCTGAATACAGTCCCTCCTTTATCTTCAGTATCACATTAACAAGCTGTCCATTCATTGAATACCAAACAGGCCTCATTACGTGTAGCCGGGCTGTGTGTGTGTGTGTGTGTGTGTGTAACTGTGTGGGTATATGTGTGGGAAAGTGAAAAAGTCAGAGATAATACGTATTAATTACAGGCTCTATCTGAAGAGTGCTAATGAATGCTGTGGTTAGCAGCAGTTTAAATGAGCTAATGACACAGCAGCTCATTTACAGACACACTCGCACAGACTTGCTCACTGATACAGATCTTCTATCCTTTGGGCGAAATGTTGGAAGTTATTCTTTTGACACCGCGTATCCTCGTACATTGTGTGTTTTTTTTCACTACGCTCGACAACAAATGCTTTGTTTCAAATGTTGACCTTACTGAACGTTTCCTCAGAATGCACAGACGATGCTGCAGAACTGGCCAACCATGTGTTGACACAGCATCTTCCTGTTCTATTTTTCACACACTGTAGCTATAAACACATCAAGTTTGGAGGCCGTCTGCCTCTAAGTCGGAAACTTTCTCTTGGTCAACAAAACGAGGCTGTGAGAACAGTGTTTGTCTTGAGTAGACACTTCTGTCGCTGACTGTGAGTCACAATCATCCCGTGTTTGTCCAGGTTCTGGTCCATGCCATCACAGAGCATGTGGAAGATGCTGGAGTGCACTCGGGAGATGCTACACTGATGCTGCCGACCCAGACCATCAGCCAGGGGGCGCTGGAGAAGGTCAGTGACTTTAACCTTCACATAGCCAGCTTATCATCTGGCTGATGTGGTTTGAGGAATTGTAGTGAGCAAACATGACGTCTCAGGTTGTCAGATGTGTGGAGGTTAACTTTGAAATGACCACACAGTGAAAGAAAACATCGTACACCTGCTGATGCTCCGTCAAGGCTACAAACAGGTATAAGCAGAGTGAGTCGCACAATGTGACTGACAGAAACAGAAATTGACAATTTATGCATTTTCTATCAAAACAGAAATGAGAGAGCAATAAATATAAACTTTAATAAATACTCTAGCCTAAATATTTTGTCAAAGAAAACCGATGGAGTCAATCCGAGTCTCCTTTTCAGGCTCAGGCTGATTAATAATGATTAACTGTACTTACAGGCTTTCCTGTTTACACTCTTGCAGCAGCACAGTGTCATAATTGCTTCATCATTTTCACTATTTAGAAGGAAAGCAGTTTGCTAGAAACCTTTATAAATACAGTACAGAGGTACATTTGTATGCTGTCGTATGCCATGCTGCACACCTTTTATTTAAACCTTTGCTAGACGTCGGTCAGCTCCGAGCTGTGAACATAACACATATTGCTGTGAAAACCAGCAGCGAGTAGCCACGATAAAGCCAACGCAAGCTGCATGAAGTTAGCACCTCAAGTAGAAAGAAAACTTTAACTGACAACATGGGTTAAACACATAGAAGCGCCCCAACGCAAAGAAAACTTCTGTTTGCCTGCTGCAGGAATGAAGGACGCTCGTTCTGGTTATTGTACTTGTAAGTCTAGCATGGATAAAAAAAATCCTGCTTTTTCCTGCAAATCAACCAGACGCTGGGTATTTGGCAGATTTTCTCCATTAATGCAGAAAGTCAGACCGGAGCTGCCTGCAGTGTAAACAGGTAAAGCTTCTCTCCTGGCAAACTGTTTCAATACAGAATTTAATCAGTATTATCGATCAGCCCCACAGGACCACAGAAAGAGACTCTGCATGCCCATTTATTTTTCTCCCTGGCAAATTCTAAGAGTAACAACGTGAATCATTTTCCATCCAAAGAAATCAGTCTGCTGCTCTATCAGTTGTCACCGATTTGCAGACCGCAGCTCACAATTCACGGAGCCCGATAAACCGGAGCAGTATTATTTAAACGGCCACGAGCGCGCGCTTGTGGGATTGTCTTACCTTAAAACAGCTGTTTATTGCTTCGGTTTTCGGGGGCAAAAATCATTCGCCAGCGCCTCATAAAATCCATCTCTTTGACCACAGCTAATAGCCAGTTACACACTCGGCGTTAACAGGCGGAGATCCTCCTCGGGATAATGAACATTTTCCACCCATTACTTTTCCAAGTTCTGCAGTTCAGGTCACAAAACCAACTTTTCATATTAATCTCTCCGTAAGCTCACTTTGGGTCATCCTCCTGCTTCTCATAACGTTAGAGCCACAGCTGGTTGCTGCCATTCATGTTCCCGTGGGTGTTACAAATCACGCAATAATACAGTAAATCTGTTTCAACAACGCTCTGATTAACCGGATCAGGTGATCAATCAATAAACCGATCCTGATCAATGGGGGGTATTGCCATCTGGGTCTTACAGGATTCATGTGCGTCTCCTCCTCTCTCCTCCGTGACACATTCAGGGGATTGGAACATGTCTGATGATGGCAGAGGGAGAGTAATTTCTGTGTGATGGAGGAGCGAGGACAGAAGGTGTTTAAATTAGCAGAAGGGAAAGCTCCCTCAGTGATTTAAACCGTATCAATTGTACTGTCCTGTTTTAAAGACCCGATTGATATTCCGTGTGAAACGAGCACCGGCTGTGTGCATTTCCAACATAAAGCAGGAAAGACGTTCTCCATTTGTATGTATAGAGATATTATTCTATGAAACTGTTTAAGGCTGTCTCATATTTATTCTACCTCTGTGTGTGTGTGTGTGTGTGTGTGTTCTTTTCCCCATTGCTTTCAGGTTAAAATTGCCACCCGGAAAATTGCACAAGCGTTTGAAATTTCGGGGCCCTTTAACACTCAATTTCTGGTTAAAGGCAATGATGTCATGGTAGGTAATATTTCTCTGGGTATGACTAAATGACAGATTGACATTTTCACACCTGGTTGCAGCAAATGCAATTCATTCACAAACTGAAATCAGCTTGTGTTTAGAAGGATTCGCAAAACGGGATGGGGTTTAATGATCAGTGTCGCCTTTAGTCTTGATGTTCCGGGTAAACTGCGATTGTATAGATACGTGCTGGATGTCTTTACTGATTATTATAAATTAAGGATAATCGCACTCGGTAGTCTAAAATAATGTGTGTATTTAACCTCGTGTAACCCTTTAGGTGATAGAGTGCAACCTGCGGGCGTCGCGCTCCTTCCCTTTCGTATCAAAAACGATCGGCGTTGACTTCATCAATGTGGCGACCAAAGTGATGGTGGGAGAGCCTCTGGATGAGGCCAGCCTGCCCTCGCTGGAGAAACCCATCATTCCTATAGACTACGTAGGAATCAAGGTAAGCGGAGCAACAACAGGAACAGTTTATAGCTGGAAAATAAGCGACTGGCTTTCTTCAATCTCGATTTGTTTTATTTTAGTGTTTGTTTTTCTTTATAGAACACAGAGTGAATGAATTGTTGTAGGGATAAACGGATTAATAGAAAACTGATAGCATTATAAGTTTGAAAGGACTTTCCTGACTCATGGCGTAAACAGAACTCTAGAATCGGCTGTGAAATGGATCCGTGCCAGCGCATTCGGGGCTTTAATGCAGTTATAAGTAAGAAGAAAGTTAGCAGAAAGGTCAGCGTGATGCAGCCACTGATTGGCCTGACTGGATCACTTAAAGGTTGAGCTGGCAACCAAAGTAAACGTTTTTAACTTGCATAAAGGCACGCTGCTTGTTCCAAATGAGAATCCCTGATGAAACTAACATACATTTTCCTGCAACTGTACCTGTTTACTACGGATTTAAGTCGGATTTAAAGAATGTCACAGTTCAGCGTTGCCTTTTGCTCCCACTAGATAAGACACTCGAGCAGCTCAAGTGGCCCTCTGATCCAACACCAGGCCACAGAGGAGCACCTGTGGTCGGCCAAAATGCTCCCTAAGTGCCGCTCTGGTCGGCCCAAGTGCCGGCCCCAAATGCTCCTTTGGTTAGCCAGCTGGTCAGCAAGAGTCAGGTGGCCATGTCGTCAGCCGCTCCGCTTTAGCAGCAAACCCCCGTGTTTTCTACAATCAGCCGCGAGTGCTCGTCAAGTGTCCCCTTCAGTTGGCACTCATGACCCAAGTTGACGCTAAAAACAGTGCAAAGGCTGCTGAGCTTTGGGTTTCTGAAGGAAGCTGCTGCATTTGTCTCCAGCAGTCCTCTGTGCTCCCCCTCAAACACAACATTCGGTTAAAAGTAATTACTCTTTTTTTGTGTAGAAGACTTTGAACTTTTCATAAAGGGCCCTAATAACTATATCTCTGAACTTCTTACAGGCGGCTGTATTGTGCGGTATGGCTGGAGAATGAATTTATATGTTAAAAAAAACCCTACATGTATGATATCTTAATAGGTACTGCAGGTTCCACAAATACAGCTTCCATTGGATCGCATAACAAAGACGGCAATTACTACTCTATCCCTCTCTACCTAGGCACGGTGACGGGGAGTGGTGGGTAGTTTTCTCATACCGACTGGGAGGCTTACTTCTTAGATTGGGTATGAGAGTTTACGTGTCGCCAGCTGTTCCAAAGCTATTTTTTCCAAAGTAATTTCTCTCTCTAATTACAACAGAGCTGCTGTAACAATGGTTGTAGTTTGAAACCAATCACGCAGGTATAATCCCCCACTCTTCCCTGCCACCTAAAGTTTTCAATTTCTAGTCTGCACAGTGGTGAGGAATATTAATCAGAGCTCTGAATTCTCCAGGCGCCGGGCTTAAAAGACTTCCAGAGTTTACTTGGAGTATATGATACAGACTTACTTTATACCTCAGCGCTGACTGATACGGGCCTCGCTAGAAACCCCCCCGCCACAATAAATGGAAGCCGTTTAACAAAGTAGCGCTAATTTCTTTCTTCTTGTTAGACAGACGCATTATTGCGGCCTCAGTATCAAGCCCGTACTGTAAACACGGCGGCGTTTGAAATCATTATCCGGCCTAAGTAGCCTGAAGCGGGTTTGATCAATACGTCCTCTCCCACAGCCGTCCTCACTGTATCACCACAAGGCACAAGTCATTGCCATTCAGAGGGACCATCTTCATTTATCTGTCTCATTCCCTCACAGCCTCGGCGCTCATTTTCTCTCTCTGACGGTCCCTCGTTTGAAGCCATGTTTGTTTCTTTTCGCTAACAAGTCCCTGTTGTGTAATTCCTATCTCCATATATAAACTCATAGGAACAATAGCGCAGTCGTATTTATGACACTAAGACGAGAAAGACCAAGAAAACGACATCTGAGGAGAAGGGAATTGATATGGTGGTTATGTGTCTTCAGTTATTGGCTTAAGAAAAATACTTTCTGACTGCTGATTTTTTATTTTTTTCTTCCCCCTTTGACCATACCGTTCACTGCATTGTGGTGAAATGGACACAGAAAAAATGTATGCTAGAACCATAACATTGGACTTCCATTCCTTTAAACACTTTATTACGAGGGGGGCATATTAACGCCGCCTGTGTTACCTGAACCAAAGCGCGTTGAAATGTCAGTGAGTTTATGGTGTTGATTGAACTTGTGTAATGGTTTTTACATATCTCCGCTCTGCCAAATATTGCCGGTGTGTTTTAGTAACTGTGCCGCCACATTCAGGTATACGTGTGACATACTGACGGGTTTATTTCATCTCAAATCATCAGAAGGCTTTTGCTCGACCATCCCCAACTTTTCATCAAAAACTATGGATATTTAAAATGACATCTGTGAAATGTTAAAATTGACTTACTTTTACAAGATCTTTTTTTTTCCCCCCAAATTGCCAGTCAACCCAATTTCACCAAGTTTTTTTCCTCACATTGAAATTGTCGTCTATGTTTGATGTTTGAATGACAATATCTCAGGAACTATTAAAGATGAAAGCCTGAACTTTTTTTTTTTTTAACTGTTATTTCTCATCATCCCATTGATTCAGAGTCTGCAATATTGAACAAGCAGATTAAAAAATGGGTGAGTTGGAAAAAAACAAAAAACAAAGCCATCATGGAAAGTCCCATCTTTGAGTAACAAAAACACTGATACTGCAAAAGTCAGCTGCTGATATTTTCACAAAAAGCATTATAGATTACTATAAATAAAACTCAACTTTCTNTGATACTGCAAAAGTCAGCTGCTGATATTTTCACAAAAAGCATTATAGATTACTATAAATAAAACTCAACTTTCTACAAATAGTCCAGCTTATAACATTGATCTTGAAGACCAAGTTTATTCCAACAGAACACAAAGCAAGAGAATCCAAACTGATCCTATTAAAGAATAAGAACAAAGATAACAAGAAAAAATTTACCACAAAAGTATGTCACATAGAAATAAAACAGATGGCAAGGAAACAAAAGTCAAGACAACAAAATGGACGGAAACGTTACGGAAGCGAACGGAGCTGCAGCGAAGAACGGTTCAGGTAAAATAGAAGCAAGCAACATTACCCACAAAAACACACCCAAAAAAAATATGGGGAGAAAAAAAAGAAAAGAGGATACCCCCACACACACAGACACAGGGTGAAAATTTTTTCTCGCACAAGATATATGAACCTCTACAGTACGTGTGACCTTCGTATGTTACACAACTAGCATGTGTTAAACAAGCTAAACAAGTTTTCTTTGTAATAACTCATTTGCACATTTTTGACTGTCAACCTTCCAACTTCCTGGCACACAGCCCACCCGTGGCGATTTCAGATTGCAGATTGGGACAAAACCTGTATGCACACTGAAAGCCCATGTGTAGCACGTCTGTGTCGAGACCCAGTCATTTAGTTCATGGTAGTCCTCAGTGTTTCAGAAGAGGACAACTTGACCTCCTTTCGGCTCTTGACGACATTTCACCTAAGAGGTTTCCTCTAACTCACTAATGGGGAGTTCCATCCATCCATCCATTATCTATACACTGCTTAATCCTCACTAGGGTCATGGGGGGTGGTGAAGGCAGAGGACACCCTGGACAGGTCGTTTAGAGACAGACAGTCACAGACTACGGACAATTTAGAATCACCAATTGACCTCAACATGTTTCTCGACTTTGGGAGGAAGCTGGAGAACCCGGAGAGAACCCACGCTGCACGAGGAGAACATGGAAACTCCACGCAGAAAGATCCCGGGTGTCCTCACCGGGACGCGACCGGCAACTTTCTAGCTGCGAGGCAACGGTGCTAACCACCGAGACACCATGCAGCCCTGATGGGGAGATATTTATTCTCACCTTACATTGCTCATAGCCTGTTAACGGCCCAAGAATCACATGCCTCAAGGTGTTAATGATTGTGAAAATGCCTGTAGAATGATGATACAAGGTGTTAATGAAATAATCTGGGGCAGCAACTCAAGACTGTGTTATAGGTGGCATCATCGACCCCTCCCCTGTTTAGTAATGTCTGTTGATTATGGCAAATGCCCTCTCACGACACCCTAGTAACGCCCAAAGGACCTACCTTGAGCAAGTTACGAGTACTAGTAACAAACACACCACCTTCTAACTTGCTGAATTGCTTAAATCTAAACCAAAAACACTGGCAACCACCTAGCATTAGCTCGGCTTCTTAACACACAGGGTTAACTTGAATTTTTAGAAAACTGAGCCTTTTTTTTATTTTTTTTTGCTGCTGTTGTTGTTAAAATGTCAAAATATATATCCCTTGCATTCACAACTTTGTCAGTCCAAATGTAAGTGTTAATTTCCATTCAGCTGCGCATACAAATACATTTATACAGGTGCCACTTTCGCTTCCAATAAAGCCCACATTGAACGACAATGTTATGGGAAAACGTCTAACTATATTCATTTCCTTCTCCACTGGAGCTCAGCTGCCGCCCCAAGATAACATTGTTCACGTTGTGGAGCCTCGCAGTTCTGTCTCTTAGGAGTGGGCGGTCAGTGTGGGATAGCGACATAAGGAAATACTGTTTTGTGTGTGTCGGTAGGATGCTGTGGTTGGAGAGGCTTGATTATTGTGACAGTCGTATACATTTTGTCCGAAAGACGCACCGTCGCAGTTGGAGGACAAAACGTTACGACTGTTTTCATAAGTCTACGTGCGAGCGGTTGTATACGTCTGAGCGGTTCCACAGGTGTTCCATCTTCTCACCGCTTCCCACTCATTACCTTTTATTTGTGCTTATATTATATTTCCTCTTTCATTCCTTCTTCTTGGTCTTTATTATTTAGAAGAGGCTGCGGCGTTTAAAATTAAGGCCACTCGTCTTCATTTGGACGACGCGCAAATCGACAGTTTGGGTTTTCCAGTGAGCGTACGTCTTTCTTCCACTTTTTTCGTATCTGTTTTTGCCTCCTTCGTTAAAAAGTTCGATCTCATTGTTATTCCCTCTTGATACCCGTTCCTCTTCCTGTTTCATTTTCTTTCTTGGTTACACTCCCGTCATTTTATCTCCGCGTACTTCCCCCCGTCTTGTCTTTCTCTGACTCTTTGAACAAAGGCGTGATAAGCGATGCCGGTTCCCTGTCTGCAGTCCCTTCTCTTCATCCCGTCTTATATTAGTATGCTAACATTACATTCGCTGATTAGATAGCCTGCTTCAAGGATGAATTCCCCCCTAGTGGCCCTTGCATCTACGTGTGTGTGTGTCTGTGTGTGTGTGTGTGTGGATGGACGCACAAACCGCACAATGCCGCACCACCTCCCGTTCTCTTCAAGGTAATGGGGGGTTGTCTGCTTTTAAACAGCCGAGTAAGAATGGCTTCCCACATGGCACCCCACTATTCTTAATTTGTCTATAATACAATAATGAGAAGATGCTGTCTCCTGCTCTTGCTCCTGCACTTTCCCTTTCAATCATTTTTTTTCCTCCCTATCTCACCTTTTAATTCTCGTTTTTATCTTCTCCTTGCATTTCTTTCTCCCCTTTTTTTTATTCTTCTTTTAATTATTTTATTCCCCTTTATTCGCTCATGCCGCTAATTTTCTTTTATTCCCTCTCCTATTATTTCTGCTCTTCTCGCTGCCTTTGCTTTCCCCCTCCTGTCCTGTCTTTCCTCTTTCATGCTCTTGTCTCCTTCATGTTCCCTCTCCATCGTCTGGCTCACCCTGCTGCTGCTCTATCACTCAGACCACCCATCTTCTTTCCTCCTTATTCTCAGCTAGAGACCGCATACCAAACAGTCTGTTTAAGTGACTGCTGGCCTGCAGTTTAAGAAGCCACCTTTCATTTTACTTTTCTCTTTCAGTCTGTCTGCACCAGCAGATGCAGCCACAATCTCACATGATACCACACCTCTCCCCTTAGTTTCACAGCTGAAGTAGAAATACCGGCTTTGAATTTAACAAAAATGTTTAATTAAACAGATGTTATACGCAATTTATTCTCTGTGAATATACACAGCTGCCACATGGTTGGTTCAGCTGCCTCAACTCTTCATGAAAACAGAAACTTTCTTTGACCTCTAGGTGGCAGCGGTGTCATGAAATCTCTGCAGTGATTCCAGTGGACTGTTAACATAATGTATGACGCTTACCAATTATGTTGGGAATTACTCTCTTTTGACAGCAGCTGTCTTTGTAGTATAAATGAATTTATAACACTTCCACTGTGGTTAGAAAACGCTGGCTTTTACCAGCATCAGTCAGCAGGTATTTGTGTTTAATCAAAGCCAGTCAAAGCCAACGGGCTAACCATGGTGCCATGTTGGTAAACCGATCCCGCTGAGCACCTGATGTTGTGAGCGTTCTTACATCTTGTTAGAACTACACAAGGACGGATTTCAGAAGACGTGTTGGTGATAACATATTCCCTAAAACCAAGTCCCTCTCTCCTCCCTTGTCTCGCCAGGCGCCCATGTTCTCCTGGCCACGGCTGAGGGATGCAGACCCTGTGCTTCGCTGTGAGATGGCTTCAACTGGAGAAGTAAGATATATAATAATACACAGCCCAGTTGTTGTTTTTGTGTAGAGAAATATACTTTGATTTTCAGACGGATTCTCACGTGTGTCCATTTATTTGTGTTTTGTTGCAGGTAGCTTGTTTTGGACCAAACATTTATTCAGCCTTCCTGAAGGCTATGCTCTCCACAGGCTTTAAGCTACCGCAGAAGGGCATCCTGATAGGGATTCAAGTAAGACTACAGCCATCTGGAGGTCCACTTGCCTCCTGTTTCTGTTTCCTTTTGGTGCCTCCTGCCCACAAGACATCAAATGCGAGGTGCCTATTGAACAGGTGGTCCAAATCTTTTAGGCTATCGGCTTCTTACAATGCCAGGCTGGCACCCGTCAGTTAGTTTCACACCAAATTGCACCTCAATTCATGCAACTCTAACAACTCTCATGTGACTAAAAACTGTGATCAGCTCTCAAGCGACAACGTGTGAATGACCACGCGAGGTTGAAATACAGCTTGCTGAACCGATGATCTCTGTCAGACTAGCGGACCTGATGCTGTTACATGGGAATGAACAGGAACTGCTACAGACAAAACACTCACACTAGTCATGTACAAAAGCATTGTTCTTGTTAACCAAGCGCTCTGTCAGAAGCAGTCTTGAATCACCACTGTTGGATAAACTTGCTGCAAAAACACATCTCCTTCCCCTCCAACCCCCAGCCACAGAAACGAACTAAACGTACGCCCTGGCACTGCGCTGTTTCATGACACCACATTACATGATTTGTGGTAATTAAGTCTTACTGCCGCCCTGAGTGGCCAAACTGCAAGTTTGACTAATGCAGCTTTAACAAAGCACTCATAACGCTAGCTGTGTAATTGGTGCTCTTGGGGAACAGTCCACTTCAAGGCAAGAGCCTGGGGTCACATACGCACTTTAACGTGGCTGACAAGCAGCAACACTTTAGGCCGACGGATCCAGAACGTGCAGGAAACATGGATGAGTTTTACTCCTAATGCTTTTAAGTAAAATAGTGGTGGTGGGATGGAAGCAGTCTAATTGATTGTGCGAGCTGGTGAGGACGTCTGGGGAGAAAAGACTTCTCGCTTAAAGGCGACGTACAGTATTTTAACATTTCATAAATACTGTAATGTCAGATTTATGTGGACACTTGTTTGTTTGCATGATGCAGTGGTCCTGATTTGGATTTCCGATAATATTCTACTGACAATACACACTAATGTGTTATCAGACATGCAGCCTATTTATATTCAAGAAGCAATCTCAAAATGATCTAGACATGCACACGCTTAGAGTTTTGTCGATGTGCTGATCATTCCTGAACCATTTCGGGTGACACTCAAATATTCTTTAACCTATTAAGCCTTCTCTTATCATTGTGACCCGCTGGCAGATGCAGACATAAAATCCAATGCTTTTCAGATGTATAATACAAATTTAGAAAACCAGCTCACAATGGTAAACATGCAGCGTTTATTTTTATGTAACATGCTTTACGCAGAGATGAAGCTTTTAGCCTGACAGGCATCACCTGCCTCTCGATGTTATTTTGGTGCCTATATGTCATTTTAAAGACTTTATCGGTCGATCTGTATTTTCTTTCATTGTGGTTGTCCTTTACTAGAAAATGTCACATACTACTGTGAAAAGGAAAATACAACCTTTTCTCTGTTTGCTGCAGTTGTTATATTTAACTCTTTTCCACTTTATCTCTGAATTGTCGCCAACCATTTGCTAAATCCCTCCACCAGCTGTTGGATTTATTGTCCAGTCACAGCTAAGCAGTCAGTTCCCAGGCTTGTCCATCAAATTCAGGGTCTTTTTTTTTTGTTTGTTTGTTTTTTTACTTTCTTACTTTTTACTAACAGCAAAAATGCAAGGATTGTTTGTTTGCTCTAAGGTAAGCAGCTATGGGTCGCCGATTACGATAGAAATGGCTCCATTCAGGATATTCAGCCAGCAACATTAACAAACTAGCTTTAAAATTTAGCTTAACCCACACGAGCAACTAATAACCAAAAACTAGCTATTGGCAACTGTTGGGTCACATTTTTAAATTTTGAAACACTGAATTTTTAAAGATGCAGCTAGCATGAGGTTTCTTTCACTGTATTGTTTGCTAAAGAACTGTTGTCATCTATTCATAGCTGATATAAAAACCTTGATTACTCTGAAGGGGACATACATCGATCAGCCACCACTTGTCTAATATTGTGTGGGACCCCCTCGTGCCACCCAAACAGTGATCCTCAGGGCATAGACCCGGGACATCTTTGGTTGTCCTGTGGTGTCTGACACTGAGACGACATGGTCGGCGGATCCTTTGGTGCCTCTGATACCTTTTTGTTTTGGTGCATTCCCCACATCATTACCTGGTGCGACCAATGAAGACAGTTGGTAACACCAGTGCTACCATTGGAAAAGTTAGTCTGGAGCCCTGCTGCATGTGTTTTACTTTTAAATAAAGACATGCACAATAGTTGTACATATAATAAATAATCAAATGCAGAGACAGTTATGCAACAATATGTTAAGGAGTTGTTATGATTATACAGTCTTACAATTAAAACTGGCCCTTTGAGGGCAAACATAACGCTTATGTGGCCCGGGATGAAAATGAGTTTGACACCCCTGCCCTAGATGCTCGATCGGATTGACATCTGAAGAGTTTGGCTGGCAGGTCAACACCTCTGGCTCTTTGTCGTATTTCTTAAGCTGCTCCTGAACAGTTTCTGTAGTGTGGTAGGATGCATTGTCCTGCATCCACATGACTTCCAGCATCCAAGGTTTCCCAGCAAAACATTGCACTGCAAATGATTTGCTGTTGTGGCTGATCGGTGTCAGCAACTGTTTCCTAATGAGTCACTACATCAACTTAAAAGGTATTAATGCTGTGCTTTCATCTCCTTTCTGCTGACCTGTTATACCTCGAGCCCAAACTGGGGAAAACATTTCTTAATGCATTCTTTTAGTGCAGCATACATTAGTTGCTTTGACGCATTTCATGCAAGTTAATTTATTCTGGTGGCGTAAACTCTGTGCAGCAACTGTGACAAACTTTCTTTTCTATAAAGTTGACACGCATCAGCGTTAGAAAGTAGTGTGTGCTGGGTTGTTGAGTGCATATTACTGGTGTGATTTCCCCTTAATGTCTCACATACAGATTAACATGCTATGAAGAACCGTGTACATACTGTATACTTTGATAATCACATGCAGCACTGGGACACAGCGAGCCTGTACACTTGTTTCTATCTCTTTATCTGTTCCTGTCTAACTCTTCTTTCTCTCTCTCTGCATCCCACTTTGTAATTCTCATCCTCTGCTTCTGGCTTCTTAATTTGCCCCAGATTTTTTCGTACAAAGTCTCCAGCTGTGTGTCAAAATTGTCCACCAAATTAGAAACCTGTACGTTATATAAGGCTTAGTAAGGTAGGCTGCAGAATACACAAAGAATATCAAACCATATCACAATGCCTTTGGTGAGACAGCATTAATTTTTAGCAAGCATACTGTTTACTAAGCTGAAGGGCACCAAGTTTGAGCAAAATCAGTTGCAAATCAGCAGCAGAAACTCACAAAGTAGTTTTCAGCACTTTCAGCGAGCGTGGTGGAATCCATTAAGTGGGTCACTTGAAGCTGATGTCTAACAACACAGATGCATTACAAAATGTTGTTTTATTCTTCCTTTACAATGTGACTGTGTTGTTCTGTCAAAAATGTGATGGCAAGTGAAAATTCTTTAGACCGCATCTGTTGAAATAATTTAGATTCTTTCATCTTTTGCACAGTGTGTTGTGTATAGATTGTGTGAATAAACATTTCACAGGACACAACGAATATACAGTCGTGACTTGATAATTCGACCCATAACAATCTGAAAACCTTGCTATCCGACAGGTTTGTAGGAAAAACGAACGGAGCCCATAAAAACAGCCTTAACATACCGACAGCCTTGGATTCTGACTCCGACATGACATTTAATGTCACCAATCAGGATAACAGCGTATTATCTGACTGAACAATCCCACAGATTGGCTACGTTCACACTGCAGGACTTGATGCTCAATGAGGATTTTTTGGGGAAATCGGATTTTTGTTGTGAGTTCATTCACATTTCCACTTAAATGCAACTTGTATGTGATCTGCTATGTGAACTTCATACAACCCAAAAGTGTCCTGCATGTGCATAACACGATGACGTCACACGCAGCGAGCACGCTCAGTGTTTGCAGAAGTAAACATGGATGGTGCCGCCGCCGCCGATGGTGGAAACAGAACTGTGACCACTATCCTAAACTAGCATCAGCAGCCAACTACTGCCTGTGCATTACAGCCACTTCCACCCCGTCAGAGCGCTCCCCCGGGGTGGAAGTGTCCCACGACCGCACAGAATATTTGGATATTCATCATTAATTGGGCCTAAATATCCAGAGACCAGAAAGTGCTTTTGGGACCTGCCCTACTAGTTATTATAACAACTATGAACAATAATTACAACAATTTCCCTGAGGTTTCCACCAAAGGGATCAATAAAGTTCTATTCTATTCTAATTAACAACTAATGAGCCTTCCAGCATCAAGCCCTCCTTGTATCTCGACCTCCGTCTTGACAATCCGACATAAAAGAAGGTTTTACATTTAGTGTCGGATTATCGAGTCACAACTGTGTATTATTATGTATAACTATATATAGGGATTAACACATATCGAACCACCACGGTCACATTTAAACAACTCACCAGTTGCAGCTAATGAGAGAGACCTGATGATACTGAAATGTGTGTCCAGCTGGGGACCCGTGGTTCATGTAGTTCCCATCTCTGTCCCTCTGTTTGCTGTCATCACTCTCCTTTCATACATTAATAGTAAAAGCATAAAATGCTCCTAAAATACTAACAACACCAACAGCACTAATAATATTATTGATATTTATTCAAATGCAGTCACAGTATCAACTGAAAATAAGCTGAAAATCCTGAAATCAAAGAAAGCAAAACTAATGTGAAATAATGCGACCTTGGCACGCGGCGCTCTGATGTCAGACCGGCTTCAGGGTCAATTTCCAGAGCCCTTGGACGGCCAAGTAAAAGCCTGCCATTGAATTGAACCTCACTTAAAATCTGAGAGAGCCTGGGAGATTGCTTTTCACCTGTGCTCCTCATCAAATTGTACCACATATTTGGCCACAAATAAGCGCGTCTGAATTTGATAAACTGCTTCTGCGAGTGGCAGGATGCAAAAGAAGATATGGAGAGAAGTCATAATCCTATTAGTACAGTCACTGCAGTAGATTCCTTCTCAGTCTAAAGTATTAGTTTGAACAGTACGTATAAAAGGATAAGGCTAGAAAATAAAATAAAGATAGCAATGTCATCCTTAAGATACACAGCTATGAGCCACACTTACATGAATGAAACTAAACCCAGATTTTTCACATGAATTTACTTTTATAGAGTGTGGATCTACACCCACAGCTGGAGCTCTACCAACTCTCTTCTGGTCTCATTCAGACGATTAACTGAGTGGATTTTTATGGAGCGGGCTCTGTGTAAATAATAATAATTAGAAATAAAAAAAAAACAACTGGAGTTTTTGGTAAGCTTGGAAATTATTCAGCCTAGGATGTAATACAGTCACTGTTTGTTGTCACAGCAAATGCATGGACTGTCAGAGAACTCTTCCATTGGCTGAGTGTGACCAGAAGACAGATGGCAAAACAGAGAGAGAGGAAGCAAATAGACGCATTTAGAACTAAAATTTAAAAAAACACACTCTTTTCTTTTATTCCTCGTACTCTGGGAACGTTTTGATTAGTTTGGATTGATAATCAGTTTCTTGCTTAACTGCATTTTTGCCAAAAGTAAGAATTTAATGCAACAAAAAGTACTGAAACTGAGGAAATGAAATTAGTGTTTTAGCACTTGGACATCATTATGTTGTTAAATTAGGAGCAACCTTGATATACCTTTATGTTTTACTGCCTCCAGTGATCCAGTCTGGACCGCATTGTTCCACATCAGAAACACTGTTTTATAGTCTGACCTGCAGCTATAAGAGCTCTTTCAAAGTTTGCCTTCTTCTCTTAACAGTTGCACATCTGTAGTCTAATTACATTTATGAATTCTCACTTTGATTTGAAAGGAGGGGGAACATGAGATGAAGACATTTTCCAACGACCTCTCAGTCGTGAACGGCACATAACGCACTTTGTTCTGTAATGGATGAACAGAGAAATCTGCATGAAAGCGCTCCTTCTGTTTCTTGTTTATAATACTCTTATGTCATTTTCTTTTTTTTTTTCCCTTCCTCCTAAAATCTGTCTGCCTCCCTCCCTTGCAGCATTCGTTCCGACCCAATTTCCTGGCTACAGCGCACCAGCTGAAAGAAGAAGGCTTCAAGGTGAGTGCTGGAAATTTCAAACACGGCAGACTAGACGTGTCATTGAAAGTCAGACATACATTTCTTTACGATTTTTTTTTTTTTTTTGGAGACCGCTTTGATGGAGCTTCCCGGTTTCTGCCCCTTATTAAAAGATTTAGAAATACTTTCCTCATTTTCCTCACACATCCTGTTGTATTTCTGTCTTCCAGCTCTATGCTACCGAAGCCACCTCTGCTTGGCTGTGTGCCAACGACGTGCCTGCCATTCCAGTAGCGTGGCCCACTGAGACGGGAGGAGACACCAGCTTGCCCAGTATTCAGAGGTTGGGGAAGTGCTCATTCATAGCACTGAACTGATGTTTAATTCTTTTGACACATTTATGGAAACAGCTCGTGTGAAAACTTAAAGCCTGAACTTTGAAGCCGAGACTTTCTTATGGTTTCCTAAGAAACTGTGAGTAACACATAAATTGTGATTCATTAGATTCAAATTGGGATATCCAATTAGCATAGGATACAGCCTTAGGATCTAAAGCCATAGCCCCTTCATTATCCCTGTAAGATGTGGACTAGATCAAAGAAGATGGAGCAGACTCTGAAGTCCGGAGGCATTGCACTGACCAGAATAAGGAGGGTGAGAAATGTTTTATATCAGAGCAATGTAAAGTCAGGTTTGGGGGAAATCAAAATTGCAGCCACGACCAACAATAAAGCAAAAGTATAACTAGTACTTTCTGTATTAATACAAATGTAGGACAACATTATCTGTCATTTAAACGTGTTGCATTCAAAATGACGCTGACTGCATTTCTTGTAGTTATTGTTGACATAACTTTAGGTCAGGGATCTCCAACTCCGGTCCTCGTGAGCTACTGTCCTGCAGGTTTTAGACTTTCCATGCTGCAGCACGGTCAGGTTACAGTTGGCTAAATATGAGATCTCTCTGTGACAGTTAGGAGCTGCGGATGTGAAGCGCTAATTAATGATAATTAATAATGAACACTGGGCTCCTTACAAGCTTACAATAACTTCATTGAGGAGTTTTCTAGATTGACAAAGTTGTCTGAAGAGCAGATCTATCAGAGTTTACGTGGATGTGAATAAATAGCAATAGAGTCAATAGCAATCGTTCCTCGAGTGTTCTGAGTCCGTGTATGAACGGAGAGCGGTGTTCTCAGACATGAACAGGCCTCCGTTGTTGATGTGTTTGATGTTGATGTGTCAGGCCACTACAAATAAGTCAAATGAAATGAAATGAAATGAAAAATACTTTTTTTTTTATCCCAAAAGGGAAATTCAAAGCACAGGAAACACTGATCACACATCAGCTTCTATCAAATAGTGTCGGACACGTCCCTAAATATAATCACCGGTGTTTGGACTGACAGCAACACTGACATATGATTGTCTACACTTAAATAAGCTTTATTTTTTAATTGTCACTGGAAAATCCAATTCCACACGGTGGCAGTTGATGAACCCGTAGCAGAGAAGTCACAGGTTCTGGCCAAGCAGGGAGGCCAATTAGAAAGCTAAAGAAGTGTCTGCACAGCTTTCCACACCGGTCCTGCCAGCTCCACCTGATGCACAACCACCGGTGCACCGCCCAAACATTCAAGGTGGAACTCTCTCTCCAGAATTGTCGTCCTGGGAGCGCTAGTATGTCGACATAAATACACTTCTTTTGGATCACGTGGCACACCAAACCAAGGAAGTCTTATTCCCTACAAAATGGTTTGGAGGAACTACATGAAAAAAAAAATGCAGCCTTTTCCTTCATTTGAATCGAGCCAGACCATCTACACGTAAGAGACACCAGCTAAACACCAACACATGCTCACTCTATGACATGAATGTTCTGACTATTATAACCTGTTGTGCATTGTTTGGGCGTCTAAGAAGCCTCTGAGAACTCCCTTTAAATTTCTTAAGCAAGACCTCTCTCACTAATTCATGCACAGTCTTAATGCACGGCTGTTTCTGGGCTAAATCCCCACTTAGCTGTGAATTTGTTCACTTGTAAGTGGTACAAACCGTTTCCTCTGCCTACGTAGAACAATCGGAGCACGCTGACTGCGACTGCAAATTCTAGGTAATGATTTTACAAACAAGTCATAATCATGCGACAGTGAAGCCATCTGGACCATATGTTTGGAAATGAGCTGGTGAAGAAGAGGATATAAAGGGGATTTAATAGGTCTGGATCAAAACAACACACACACACACAAGTGGCTGGCATCAGCTGTGCGAGGTGGCACAGAGGTCAGTTCTTTATGGGGAAGAGCGCGACCTTTGTTGTCGCCGTCTGACGTACTTTCAGTTAGAATTCAGCCCTATTTCTATGCCGTCCGTCAAAGGCCTTCAAATGAAAACGGCAATAGAAGCCAGAGCTTTTGTCTGTGTGAGTGTAAGTGTATGGGGGAGAGCAAAGAAAGAGGTGAAGCCTGTTTTTCCCTCATAATTTACTAAAAATCTGCCGTCATCTTCAACCAGGTCACAAGCACAGAGAATGGATGGAAGTCAGTTTTTTATTTTCATTCCTAAACACATCCGTTGCACATTTGCAGTGCTGGTGGGGGAAATGTGACCCCTCGGATTTAATAACCGGTGGAACCTCCTTTGGCAGCAATAACCTCAAGTAAGCATTTTCACTAGCTGTGGATCAGGAGGAATTCTGAACCTTTCTTCCTCACAGTGCTGCTTTAGTTCAGCCAAGAGGCACCGCACGCCGACACCTGTTTGTTTGAGCTGCGAACTAAACGGCAAAGTCGCCGCCGCGATTATCGAGATCCACACCGATTTATCGGAAAATCGGCAGTTCGAAAATGGCTCAACGCAACATGTACAGTTTGAAATCATCCCACGCTGATGTAGAATCACCTGTTTGGAACTTCTTTATGTCATGAAATTCATACAGAAGGAGAATAGTGATGCCCTCTTGGTAGGAGGTGAAGCCTTCCTCGCCCACTTTTCACTTCCTTCAGATTTTTTATTTTTTTTTGCTTTCACAAAACACATCTCTAGTGACTTCTGAACAAACCTTAGCTACTCTCTGTGAAAGAGAGTACCGACCCGTAAGCATGAGGTCAGCGCCGGCTCTGTTGAATGAGACCAGGATATTCTGTGGCTTCTAACTCTCTCCGACCCTTTTGCATGGACACATATTTCACAGGACAGATGTTGTCAGATGATGATGCCACACTTGTAAAATCTGTATTTTTGCGATGCAGAAACGGCTACTGCTGGTTAGCATGTAGTGTTAATGGGCTTTAGTCGCTGTTTCATACTCGTATTATCTGATTACAGAAAATATGTAAATGAGAGAGCAGCTTTATTGGAAATTTGGCTGTATTAAATCCTAATATATGTGAGATCAGAGAGAAGGAGAGAAGCACACAGACGACAGCTGACATTAGGCTGCCTTGAAACACAGAAGGCAGATGAAAACGCTGCAGCCCACTCAGTCGCTGTTTGTTTATTTTCAGATCGGTTTTTAAGTTTTCGCCCGTTCTGGTTGTCCTTCAGCGTTACAATCTCTACAGAGCTCTGACCTGTGGGCACACGATCAAAGCAAACGGTACCGTTAGCCACATTAACCATGTGAACAGATGGGAAGAGCCGGCGCTGGCTGAGTCCAAGTTGCGCTGGGTTTCACGAGAGCTCCAGCTTCAGGGGTTACTGGGGCTGCAGCCAATGGCCTCGAAACGAGAAGGCTCACGACCACCGCCGCCCTCCACCGCACTCATGTCTGAGTCTGTGTCGCCCTCAATTTCGTCTGGCCTCCGAGTTTCACTGACCGACCTCCTCCACAACCCCGTCAGCAGCCCCTCTTTGCTCCCTCTCGGCCCCTTGCATGCTGGATGGACTTTGGCTCAGAGCTGGAAGTGAAGTTATGCTTTAGGATGCCGACAGTAGTCTATTGGGTTAAAGCCTGTGTTGTTACCAGGCTTCTCCAAAAGGCAGATTTGCTTCATTTGACGCCATTCTGTAGCAGATTCACTCCAGTGTTCTGGGTTGTTGTCGCGCTGCATCACCAAAGTCTAACCTTAGAAATTAATTTTCCTCCTGTTGAAGTCGAGGTGTTCCCATCCAGAGAGGCAAATTCTGATCCTCCCTCCTCCGTGCTTCACCTTTGAGCTTTTATTCTGGCATGCAGTACCCCATATACACCATATGTACTGCTTCACTTTCCCTTCCAAGCAGTTCAGTGGTGTCGTGTCGGTGCTTTCTGGCAAAACTTCTGGACCTGTAGTGATGTTTGTTTTTTTTAATTTCATTTTTTTTTGGCGAGCAGCAGCGTGATCATTGTAGAGTCATTTCTTTCAGCCTTTAGCTGTTATTCTGGGGTTCTTTTTTCTTTCTTCTTTTCCTTTTACCTCATTGAGCATTCTGTCATCTTAGCAGGGTACCCACTTCTAGAGAAAGTGGTGAAAGCACTAAATTGTCTCTATTTACAGACAGTTTATCTGGCTGTGAACTGATAAATGACGGCGCTGCTTGAGGTTTCTTTGTGGCCTTTTACAGCTTTATACAAATCAGCAATTCTTGATCGCGAGTCTTCTGAAATTTTCTTTGTGAGACGCGGTTCACATCAGCAGACGCCTCTTTTAAAAAGCAAAATGTCTGAGTGTTTCTTCTGAGTCGAAATAACTCCAGCTCACATGTCCAATCTGGATTTGACTACGGTTTTGCTCACTTCTCCCTTTAATTAGCCTTTTGCTGTCTGAAATTAAGCGTTTCCTGTTTTAGGTCAGTTAGGATTACCAACATTATTTGTATTTGCTAAACACCAGGATAATGAGAGAGAGAATTTTTTATTATTATCTTCAAAGTCAGACGTTCACATACATTTCTTTAGTATTTGGTAGCGTTGCCTTTAAACTGTATGACTTGGGTCAAACGTTTCGGGTTTCCTTCTACAAGCTTCTCACAATAGCTTGCTGGCATTCTGGCCCATTCCTCCTGACAGAACTGGTGGAACCAGGTTTGTAAGCTGCCTTGCTCCACACACCTTTTCAGCTCTGCCCGCAAATTTTCTCCAGGACTGAGATCAGGCCTTTGTGATGGCATCTCCAAAACACTGACTTTGTCGTCCGAAAGCTACTTCTAGATTTTCCCACATCCCAAGATGTAAGAAACATATTAGCAATAAAGAAGTTGTGGTCAAAACATCGCTCAGTCAATCCATCCTAATCTACCACTCTCTACGATGTTTTGGTTAGTCAGAGGAACATGTTTAGCTAAATAAATTCCCAGATGCTTCACTCAGTGTGGCAGGACGTCACATTGTTCTGGTGATACGATAACATATCTCTTTCTTTCTAAATGTATCATTTTCAGTTTTTAAAGACTATTTTCCTGCAGGGGTTTATTAAAGTTCTTCCTTTTCTCAGTATCAAATGACTCCATGACTGAATCAATTCAGCAATGAAAAAGTTACTAATCAAGACATGATTATGGACTTCAGAGCAGTACAAACATTTTACCTTAACTGTTATGTTTCTATAGACTGATCAGTGAAGGCCACATTGACCTGGTGGTCAACTTGCCCAATAACAACACGCGCCACCTGAAGGCCAACTTCCTCATCCGCAGAATGGCCGTCGACCACGGCGTTCCCCTGATCACCAATTACCAGGTGGGTAAATGTCACGATATCAGTGAAGAACGGGGGATACATTTACATTCAAATGATGAACTTCTGCTTGTTTTTCTGTGTATCAGGTGGTGAAGCTGTTCGCTGAGGCGATTCGCTACGCGGGGGAGCTCGACACAACCAGCCTCTTCCACTACCGGCAGAAAGAAAGGCAACAAAGAGGGGCTAGCCAGCAGGCCTAGAGCTCGTTCCCGGTCCTTCCAGCCCTTTGGAAGACAGCCGTAGAAAGTGGGAGCAACATTTTTGTAGGACAGCTAATTAAAAATTCCTTATTTTCCTATTCTGTAATGTCAAAAATGTGCTCAGGTTACTTCAGTGGCACCAGTTTTAGTCCGTTAGGCGTCACCTCGGCCAAAACACAATAATTAACAAGGCATCTTAACATTTTTTTTACTATTGTTGTCTATCAAAGTATCTAAGAGATTGTAACCTGTTGCCAAAAAACAAAAGCGTGGTTTATCCACCAGCATGTAGATGTTATTTGAAAAGAGCTCTTACAATTGTTAAAGTCTTCAGTTGACTGTGGACCAGGTTGTCTGCAGATATCTCCCTAAAGGTCAGAGTTCAAACAGGAACATCCTGAACAACTAAAAAGACTACACACTTGATTGGAAAAATCATCAGCCAAAGAGATATTTACCAACCTGGAAGTCAAAAAGTTCTTACATTTCTGGTAAATAGGGACCCTTTACTTAGAATTCTAATCCCTGTGTGTGTGTTTGGCCAAAGGACTTTCTGATTATGTGATCTTGTTAAAATTGTTTTGACGCCATTCAATACTTAAATGGTGCTACAACAATTTATAAGTGTACTGTCAAACAAAACTATACTGTCTGCAACTGTGAAAATGACTGTAGATGCAATATTAAAAAAGAAAAAAAAAAAAAGAGTAAGAAGGAACTTTTTTTTTTCTTCAAGGGCTCCAACGTGGAACAGTAGCTTTGAAAACTGAAGTTTGTGACAGCTGCTCTGTTCATATATTTGGATTTGTATATACTGTGTGTTTCATACTGCATTCGAACCTGCTCTGCATTTTAATACATCACGCTGCAAGTGCATTTAACGCTGTGTTACTGTTACATTCTGTTGTTTTTTTGTGTTTGTGTTACATAAGAATCCACTAACGCACAGTGAAGTCTTCCTTCACATTATGTCCGCTGTGTGTGTGTGTTTGTGTGTGTTTGTGTGTGTGTTCGGGACATGCATTAAAATCAGTTCCCTCCCACACCGGAGCTTTTAAGAGTCTATTCACACACAGCACAATACAACTGTATGAGCACACGAGATGGTGTACAAGTTTGGCACAAGAGGTCAATAAAATAAAATAAAACTAGACAGCGTCATGGTTCTGTGTTCTGTGTTTACTGTGTCGAAGGGCGTCAATCAGTGAAGTCTATTAACGCCAACAGGGTGCATACAGAAACAACAGCACAACCTTTATCAGAATCTGATCAAAACTCAGGTTTCTTTTTCAGTGTAGCTACAATACAAAAGCTACAGCCTTGTTCAGCCCAGTGGGTTGGTGCTGAAATGCAGCTTTTGCAAAGTGGATCTAAGCTACATTTAGAGGTGGTTCGAAATGCTACTTCTATCAGAGTTCCACAAATGTGTGTCTGTCAGGATGCTGTGGTCGGTCAAATCAGGTTCCAAGGTGTCTTTTGGGTCACTGAATGCAACACACAACTGCAACGTCAAATCCAGAGGGACCAAAGTGCTGAGCAGAGTCTGTGCTGCTGCTGCTAGCACGGTGCAATGGAGAACAACATGGAGAATAGATGATGAAATGTGTCAAAAGTTCCAGGACCGGTGTCAAACTACAAACTAGGAGTTCTCCCCTTCAGACGATCAACCAGCCGGTCTACACAGAGATCCTGTTTGCTTCGTTCAGTGCAGAAGAGGCGAGAGTTGTGGCAGGACGAGTCGTGGCTGCTTCACCATGACAACGCCACTGCTCACGATGAGCATCCGACAGTTCCTGGCTGAGAAGAACATCTCCGTGCTGGAGCAACCTCACCTGGCTCCATGGGATTGTTTCCTCTTCCCCCAACTCAAGGGGGTCATCATGGGGACCAACTTGGAAGACGTGGACGACATCAAGATTGCTGTGACGATGGAGCTGCAGAGGATCCCAGAAGAATCCTTCCAGGAGTGCATGGCGGCGTGAAGGCAGAGAGGGCTGGGGAAGTGTTTTAGACTCCAGGAGGATTACTTTGAAGGGGAAAACTTGTAGTTTGTAGTTTGGATGTGAAATATACCTTTTGTGACACCAGTCCTGAACCTTTTGTGACACACCTCGCATATTGTCTGTTGGCATTTTCGGGGCTCACTTCTGTAGACAAACTGGAAGCAGCCAAGCAAAGCAAGACACTTCATTAACGGAAACACATCTGCATTGGAACGTCATGACACCAGCGTGTACATAGTTATTGATGCACATGTCATTGCTACAGAAATCCATGCAGATAGGTTGTTATGTGACAACACAAATCCACCCTGAACACTTAAAAATAACAATGCAAACAGTTTGTCCTGCTTATCTCATTTGAAAAACAGCTCTCAGTCACCTGCAGTCTGAATAAAGCATGTGACTTAAAGATGTAAATTACAGCTTTGCATCGAAGCACAGACTTCCTGTAGCACCAGAGACTGTGAAAGTACATTTGAATCACTCATACATACTGTATGAGTATAATCACGCCATAGGTGGAGACACAATTTTAGCCCAGCTTAGGGTGTCATAGAAAAAGCTCAGGGCTCTGTGCTGCTCTTTAAAGGTCCCAGGTTGTGGAAATGCATTTTGTGTTTGGGAGGTGTAAAATAAAATCTGGGAAAATATGAAGTTGCTTACCGCGCTCATTCCTCGAGCCACCCGCACCACTAGAAGGGCCTCCAGCTTTACGAGCCAGTAAGAGCTTTTTTTTTTAGTTTCTACACTAAAACTAGATAACCAATAGTCGTCGAGCTAAAAAAAACTGCATAGTCCGTTTTATAGGCCTCCGAAGACTGCTAGTATCGATCCGTCTACACATCCATGAGAACCTTCCTCCAGCTCTTTGACCCTGTTGTGTATAAATATATAGTATAGTCCTTAAGGTTTAAAATATAAAAGAAGTTACATATATGCACATAATTATGAAATGTCTCCTTCTTCAAGCAACAGACTGAGAAAAAGACGGAGGAAAAGAAGTCCATACAAGGATGCAACTACTCAGTGTGATGAAGATGGGCCCTAATCAGTTGTTTTGTGAAATGACCATGCATCATGTGACTTAGAAGTATAAAGAGGGGTCAGAGGGAAAGGGAAGTGGTCTTGCTCTGTCTGATGCGACCCAGAGCTCTGTAATGCAATATTCAATGTATAATATAACTGATTGATTGAGACCGAACTGAATCTTATCTCATCTTTAGAAACAAACACGTGGAGAAAGACAATTTCTCCAACAACCCACACTCAAGTTTTCAGCTTCTAGGCAACTCAGGATATTCTTTTGTTAAGCAACATCCACTTCATATACCTATCGTGTTAATGCAATGCACAGATAGCCCAACCCGCTGTGACTCTGAGAGGAGAAAAGGAGTCGGAGAGATTATAAAGCAACAGGAGCACTTTGTATTTACATTTTAAATGTGGTCTTACTGTTACTATATCTGTCTACCAGAAGACAACACTGCTTCTTTCTGTTTCAATGGTGAGACATACTCACTACAACCACTAGCGATGTCTTTTTATACACAAGTGCACTTCCTGTAATAAACCTAGCTGCCAATCTGACAACATGCCAATCTGTGAGGAAGGCCTGCATTTCTCAATCGGCTGTGTTTGGCTTCAGTCTTGGTGTGAAAGAGCGAGTGAAGGTGAGAAATCTAAATATATTTACGATTCCCACTGAAAAAATTCCACTTTTTTTTTTTGCAATCTTTCGCATGACTCCCACACACACACAGAAAAGATCGAATTCTGTCTAAGCAAAATCTGAATTCCTGTTCAGTTGAGCTAATTCTACCTCAGCAGCCCAGGGCCATCAGGAGTCACGATTCACTGCAGGCACAGTAACCAAGCAACAGGGCTGCATGCGGTGTTGGTTGCCGACAATAACTCCCAGGTAGACCCCTGTGTCTCGAGCAGTATGTCTGCAAATCCTGCTTTGATTAAAGTGTAGTGTTGTTAAGTTTAACCTTACTCTGTTATTATGAAAAATTGATGTTTTGTTTTGGGTCTGCTGGCTTTGAACTCGCCGGGAGTGCACTAATGTGTTAGCTCCTATATGAGAGCGAGATCGTCTTTGGGTGAGCAAAATTAAAGAAATGACTGCGAACTGAAAAACTAACAGAACAGCTCTGTGTGCTGGCAAGTTTAATGTTTAGTGAAAGACTTCTAGAATGATTCCAGTGCATGAGGAGACAGGGAGAAAACGGGGAGGATGTTTTGGGGTGGATAGAAATTGTCAAAGCTGGTAAGATTTAAAACTCCAAAACAAAGAATTTGTCTTTGGTGGGAACTGCAGCTACAACAACCGGTTGCTCCTGGGTTTATAAGTCAAGTAAGCAAACTTTAGCCAGAGTTAAGGGCAGGACTGTCTAGACCAGAGCCAAATGGACCCATTAATACTTTTATAAGGGCTGTCACCACAAGGACAAAATAATAATGTGAAAACTGGACATTTTTAAAGGACAGGGGAAAAAAAGAATTTTAAATAAAATACAAAACTGAAGTAAAAGTTGAGCGATTAGGAAAGTTTTATTTTCACCAGGACTTAACTGTGCTATTGATTTTTAACATGAAAATATTATAATAGCTAAAGAACATTAAAAACATAAAACTAGGGATCGCCAGTCAATATTCGTAAAAGAATAGTCATTAAAAAAAGTGGGATTATATTTTGTGAGGAAGCCATAGATGGAACATCAAAGATGGTGGCCGTGATGTGTTTGTAGGACGACTTTTTTAAAGCCTCTAGTTCAGAATTTGATCTCACCATCTTTTGAAACCAGACGTAACAAGCTGGCAGTAAAGGTTGAAACTTGTCATTTACAAGGTATTTCCATGCTAGTTTATCGTCTCTTTTACCCTTAATGGAAACATAATTAGAATTAAAGCCGCAAGCAGCGATGGACGGGTCCTCGC